CCAATGCTGACCAGAGACACTTACACCAGCTCCCTGATCCAGAGGGAGGTAGTGAGCACAACAGCCAATCCAATGCTGACCAAAGACACTTATACCAGCTCCCTGTTCCAGAGGGATGCAATGAGCACGGCTTTGCCCCCAACGGAGCTGATGCTCACAAAGGCCAACAGTTCCTCCCACCAGGAGGAGGCAGTTCCTGAATCCACAAGCAGTCCCCCTTCCTTCACATCCGTAACCTCCTTCCCAGTTTTCCTCAAAGAGCTCTTTGCTCAGTTCAGCTCCACGAGTCAAACAGGAACAGAGCAGCCCAAGGGAGAGCTCAGAACAACCGACACAACGTCTCCCCGGGAAGGTCCGTCCAGCCAGACCACCAGTCGTTATTCTGCTGGAGGAACAGGAACCCCCAACACCACTGACCGTTCTGTTCACTCGTTTACCAGCCCTGGTGGGGAGGGCACCCCACAGGGTACCCCACAGCCGAGCCCCCCCCAGCTGAACTCAAAGCCTGCTCCCACCAGGCCACCGGCGCACTATGTCGACTACTACGACTACGACGAACAGCCGAAGGAAACCCCAGTGCAAGTGGGACACATCTCCTGTGACTACAACCCCTGCAGGCACCTCCAGAAGCCGTGCAGTGAACTCCAGAGCGTGTCCCAGTGTTTATGCCCGGGCATGTCGACGGAGGATGAGGTTCCAGACCCGCCGAGGCTCAGCGAGGTGACCGAAGTTACAGACAGCTCTGCCCTGATTCACTGGTGCGCCCCAAATTCGGTTGTTCACACCTATGAGCTGCTGCTTCTTGCCCAAGGCAACGAGGACAGGCAGTTTGTCATGGATAATATTTATCCCACAGCCAGGCAGTACACTCTGTATGATCTGTCACCATACACCACTTACAACATTTGCGTGACAGCTTCCAACAAAGCCGGGTCAAGCCAGATAACAGGTCAGGAAATTCCAGGTAATTCGTGCACCAGATTTAAAACAAAACCCAGCTACAAGTCTGTCTTTGTTGCTCTGTCTGCAGCAAGTGGATTCTTTCTCATTACCACGATTGTTTTGTCTGCATGTCTGTGCAAGGCGTGTAAGAAGCCTCACAGTGAGCAGTATGGAACACACTTGGTCTCCTACAAGAACCCAGCCTTCGATTATCCGCTAAAAATACAAACCAGTAATTAGCTCTGGGTTATTGTTCTGCACATTCAGAGCTCGCTGTTTCCATCACCTTGGTATGTTTTTGGGAGGCTCTCAAAGCATCTTTCAGCAAAACTATGAACAACCAGGTTTCATAACCCTTCTGTTTCTAAGGGAGAGCAAACCATCAACAAAGAAAAACTAATAACGAAGGTATTTTCGACCAGATATAAGTCTCTGGACTGTGGTTCATGTGCTAAGCAGCAGGAAAGCTGGACACTAACCTTGAAAAGCTGTTTTTATAATCACCTACAAATAGAGTAGCATGAATTTCACACAGTGAGAGGCTCCCTGGCCAGCTGTCTGCCTCCAGTATCTCATGGACACAATCAGCTGAGAGCCATGATCCAAGGTGCATCTAGCTGAGCGTGACACACTCTGCTTTTATTCACAGAGGGAAGTTGGGGGTTCAATTTTTTAAAGGCATTATCCAAAAAGAGAATGTTACTGGAAGGAGTGAGTGGGCTCAGTGACAAGGTGCTGTGCAGCTCTAACTCCGTTAAGCAACTCCAGAGGCTGCAGCTGCTCAGCCTCAGTTCAGGAAAAAGAAACAAAGATTAAATGTAAGAAGGACTGTGCAGGATCCTTCGGGCAGGGATCATTGTTTTGTCTTGTCTTTGTGTGATGTTGGAGTCTCCCAAGTGCTTCCACAAGCAGTTCCCAGGCAGTGGGGGTTTGCAGGACAGCACTGACCCAAGAAGTGGTAAGGGGAGCACGGTAACATTTGCTTCCCAATGGATTTTAAGCAGAGATGGTTGTTCCATCGCAGTAATCCATCCCATCCACAGATTTAGCAGCTGATTTACCTCATAGAGGCAAAAAGATGAGTAATGAAACCATTTAATGTGTGTGTTGCTGAGACTTGAAAAAGCGAAATCCCGTCCAGTGGCAGCAGAGAGTTCTGCAGACATCTTCCAGATTAATTTTTGGGTGCTACTTGATAGTGAGAGATGCTGACAATCCCAGCTTCGAGCTTGCCATTAGAATTCAGAGAGATGTTTGTGGAAGGGGAGGCATTTGTCCCAGTCAGATACTTCCCCAGAGGTTTATGCTCCAGCAACTGCTGTTCCTGCTGCTGTACAGACACTGTGTGAAGTCCCCCCAGACCTCTGAGGGAAAGGTGCTGTGCAGTGCAAGAGACTCTCTGTTCTGTTCTTTTTTAATGCTTTCAGTATTAACAGAAATAAAAGCTACAGAGCTGAGTTCTGGTTCTTTGTTAAAGACTTGGGTCTCGGTGTTGTCTTTACCACCTACAACGTTTAGCCTGAGAAATTAACTCTTTTTTGTTGTTTTGGAAGAAACTTTCAGCATTTAGTAAAGAAATGGTTTTTTGATGGTAAATTTGTGTTCTCTCATGTCCTAAGAGCTTTCATTTTGCCCGTGCAGAAGGTGGCTCTGCCATCCTCACCACTACAGGCTTGCAGCCCTTTCATGGGAGTTTGTGGCACTGGCAATGACACTGTCCCTGGACAGACACAGATTCCTGCTGTGTGTGTCTCCTGAGCTTGGCTGAGCCCCGTGACTCAAACTCACAATAGAAGGGAAACGCAAATGGAGAAGGATGGAGTCACCTTTCACTTTGAAAACCTCTTTTATTTTCACACTCTGGTAGTTCAGGCTTGTCTTTGTTTGGACTTGGGTTTTCATATTTATTTCTGGGCTGATTTTCCCTGCATTTCCTGGAAGGATTAGTGAGCAGGCACAGATGATAGTCATTATTTCATCTGAAGTGAGCAAATGAGTCAAAGACTCATTTTCCCAAACTGGGACAGAGATCATATATTCCCTTGTGTTTGTACAACACAGAGACCTTGGCTGGGGTATTTGGGTTTACCAGAAACAGAAACAAAGTGGAGCAAAATAAGAGATTTGTGAATAGCAATTTATATTGTCTTGAAGATTAACCCTAGGGGAGGACAAAAAAAATAGATACTGCAACTGAAAATAAAGATTGTTCCAACTTAACTGAGAGTTAGTCCGAAGCAAGAGGACATTGTTTAAAATGAAATTTGAGAGGACACATCTAATTACCCTTTACCACAACGCAGCTCATAATCACTGAACCAGAAAGCCACAAAGCACCAGAATTTGACTTCCCTGAGGATCAGTGACCAGGGCACACTCCAACCTGACACCACCTGGAAGTGCATCCTCACACCAACTTCAGTCTCTTGAACCTTTCCCATTGTGAGATTTGGGTTTGTCACAACCGATTTCACTTTTTCCTGATATTTGTGCTAAGCTACAAGAAGCCTTACTTGGATATATTATATAGACACTCTGAAATAATTTTTAAGTTACAAAAGCTTTATTCTGCTATACTTGAAAAATTCCAGCTTGGATAAAAATAGTCCTTCCTGTATTCCCACCCAGAACTGCTGTGTCTTGTAAAGGGTTGCTGCAGCCCAAGAACAGGCAAAGTGACAATTATTCAAAAGAACAGCTCTCATTCGAGTAAGTCACAACGTTTTCAAAGTAAGTATTCAAGCATAAAACCTTTCTTTGGAAGCACTGCTATTGTTAGTTCTTAAAAAGGATGTAAACTTCTAGAAAAACTCAATCACCACATTATCCCCTCTAGGGATCTTACTGTAGCTGCATCTACTGATTTAGAAATAAAAATACAACAAGCAATATTTTAATCAATAGGGCAAAGTTATCTTGAAGCCCATTTTCTGGTTTCTACATAATCCAAGTAGAAACTGGATTCCAACTGCAGAAAAAAATGTCATCCCCACTCCCAACCTCAAACCCCAGAGCTGTCCTTGTAAACACGGCTCATGACCAGTTTGGATATTTCCAGGATTTCCAATACTCTTAGAAGTGGAGTGAACTCTCACAGTGCTGTTGGGGACTGGAGCAGTGAGAACAACCAAGGGGCTGAACAGAAACTTTCCCGCCCACACACAAACCCATGTTAGGAAACTCCCAGCTTTGCTCCGCCTGGTTGTTCCTCCCCCTCTTCCCGCTCGCACCCAACAGCAAACTGTTTGTACCTCCGGCTGCAAACACATCAACCTTTGCCAGCACGACTGGGGTCACTGCATACCTCTCAAACAAAAGCTGTATAAAAAGCCAACGCATTAAAAAAAGGTAATTAATATTCCACTTACTGTTCCGCAGCTCCACTTTTCCCGTGTCTGTGTGAGGGGAAGATCACTTGGGGGAAGCGCAGGGAGCATTTCAATGCATTCTTTGGACAGCTCGTGGAGGGTTTTTTCTGGCTTTTCTTCCTAAGAAGAAAGTCTCATCAAGATCCTTCTCCTTTCAGTTGTCAGTGTTTTTCTTCTTTCCAAAGAACCAAGTAAGTCCACAACAGCCAGTGGTGTCCATGGGGGATCCCCAGGGTGTCAGGGCAGAAGTGAGCACTGCTCTGTCTCAGTACATGGAAAGCAGTCACTGAGTCTCATGGAGTCTCCCGGCAGAAACACTCTGGGAAGAGGAGCTGATCCCTGAAAAGGCCTCCAAACAGGGAAGAAAAGGAGCTCTGCAAGGGCCAGAACCCTTGCTGGCTGTGAGGGAACAGAGAGGGACCACCCTGTTTTCAGTGCTGATGCCAAGAAGTCATTAAGAGCAGCAGTCCCTGAGAGCCCTGTGAGCAGGTGGGTGGGAAAGTGCAGGACAGCAGCACCAAGTGCTTCGGCCTGATCCTCCTCAGTGACAGAAGGGAGCCTGCTTTGGAGAGTTGTCCCAGGGCAGAGGGGTGACAGGCATTAAATGGGCCAGCTGGGAGATGATGCAGTCCAAGGCAGGGAGCTCACAGTGCTCCCAGCTCCATCAGCCTTTCATGGAAGGATGCACGAGCCAAACCACCACACTCAGGATTGCTCCGAGGGTTCAGGATCTTGCTTGCCAAGAAGCCTCTGATTTCCTCTTTACCTGTGAAATACAGAGATATTTATCACAGGTGAGAACATGTTTTGTGTTTGCAGACAGAGATATTCATAAAAGAACATGTTTAAACTCCTGGTGCTTTTTCTTCTCTCAGCTCCCAAAGGATGCAGTTTGTTCTGCAGCAGGACAATATATTACAAAGGTAATCCCAACCTCTCTGAAGAGTGATCAAGCAGCACAAGAAATAACAATAATAATATTCTGAAATACATTCAGGAAGCAATCCCTTACAGCAAGGCTGGTGTTCTGCTGGCATCTAGAGGGAGAGGGTGGAATCATCTCCCCAGGTACTCTCCCACATGGAAATACTTTCACCACAGCACTCCACCCTACAGAGCAAGGCTCATTTACACTACTCATGTGCTCTCCTCTGTGCACCTGCGTGTCCTTCCCTACTCACATGGGAAGGCAGAGAGGGCAGAAGTGCTGAAAATTATCAGCAGCAGCAGTCCCAGTCCCACAGACTGTTACTCAGCAGCCTGTCTGTCCCTGCTTCTAATTCTTTTTGTAGCCTTAGGACCAGGAATTTCTCTGCCAACTCGCCACTGATAAGGAAAAAAAATGTACATTTTTTTTATTCCTTAAGAGCAAGGAAGGAAAATCAGAAGAAATCGAGTAAAAGAATGCCAAGAAAACCCATAAAACCCAGAATCCCTCGTTCACTGTCTCTTCCAGGAGGTGGAAGCAGTGATGCAGCTATCCCTGCTCTGCAGGACTGGCAGCTCCTGCAGGGCTCAGCAGCCACAACTTCTGGAAGGAAGCTCCAAGAGAAGAGAGGAAAAAAATATCACACACTCAGCACGAGGCTGAGACTTCCTTCTTCTTTGAAAAAAAACTAAAATATCTTTGCTGTGTAAAATATTTTGTGCTGGGAAGGCATGAGTATCGTGCTTATTAAATGTTTGGAAGCCACTTGCTCTTATCAGAGCATGATTAAGGAATGGTTGTTAATATCTTATCTAAGGCCATGAGGTGAAGTGATGTCACCCTCTTTTTGGCAGTCATTCCTTCTGCTGTCATCACCACTGCTGGTAGTGGTTTGTTGCCTCTGCCTGAGTAAAATAAAACTTGGAAAGCCACAGGAACATTGTGCCAGCAACAAATATCCCAGAGGACTGAGCTCTGCCCTCGGTGTGCCTCTCACTTAAAAACCTCTCCTCTGTGCAGCTGCCTGTTCACACAAAGCCAGAACATGCAGAGTTTCTGCCACATTTAGTCAAAATCAGGTCCAAGTTCTAATTGAAGGACATGGGGCAATGGGACACTGCAGGAAGAAGGATAACCATAAGGCTGCCCCTAAATACATGCAAGTAAAAAGAAAAATAATCTCTATTTCACACAGAACGAAGCAAAAAACCGAGTAGTAGCCAGAGCCCTGAACAAAACTCAACAGCTTGATAGCCCCTCGTGTCTGCTCGTCTAAATTACAGGTAGCAGGCAACAAGCAATTTTTATGACTTGTTTGTGGCTCTGGATCAGCCTCCAGCCAATGTCACCTTCACACCTGCAAGGACCTGAGATCAAATCAAACCACAGCAGGGGGTTTCTGTTGGACACAGAGTGGGGCAGATGGAGTGACAGTGGGTGACAAAACCCATTAAATGAGCCAGAAAAGTCATCTTAAATCCAGCACAAACCTGCTGGCTGATGAAACCCTCCCTCTGCCTGAAGCCCAGCTTCAGGGAAGGAACCCTGCCAGACCAAAATTGTCAGGAAGAAGGGAGCCACTAACCACAGCAGCCCTAAACTTAGCTCAGCAGCTCCCTAGAGACCAACTCAAAACCCAGGCTCCACGCAGCAATGGAACAAACCTTGTCCCCAAATGATTCCCAACACCAGAGGGGCTGGTTCTGCCAAGCACAGAGCTGTGTGTAACAGGGTGGCTGTGACAGCATCAGGTCTAACCTTCATTTCCTTCAAAATCCTGGGAAATACTCGCCCCTGACCCTAGGGCAACACTGAGCAGCACGTGATAGCTGCTGGTAACAACACAAACCTGGCTGTGTTTTCCTGTCAGGTCCTTTGGCCCTTTGCTGATTCCAGCTGTAACACTGCATTACTGTTAAATATGCAGGATTTGGTGCTGTTGCCATCAGTGCTTGGTGGAATTAAAGAGCAGGGTCAGAGTTCCCAGTGATTTAAGTAATTTAGGATGTGTTTCTGATGGTTTTGAAGGTGGTAAGAATCCAGATTTATATCCAGGTGATATAAATCAAGACTATAACTAATAGACCTTTGCCCCATGTGTGACCTGGATGGACCTCTCTCTGCCTTTACACTTAAAACTATTTTCTTCTCTGCCTGTTAAAAATTGAATATTCGAAGGCAAACACTGTTCAATTCCAAAACCTCCTCTCAGTTACCTGTGTTTCAGTGGTGCATAAACCCAGAAAAATAAAAATCAAAAGCAACTGCTAAAAATGAGAGGTGATGAAATCACGTGACCGTGGAATCTTTTTTTTCCTCTATTCTTTTTTTTTTTTTGTTCTGACAAGTGTACAAATGCTTTACTTTGACATCTCACGGTACAAAGCTGCTGCTGGCACTAGAAAATTGCTCACCATAAGGGTGTGTTTCACTTGCAGTGAGCTCCTGATACACTTAGAAAGGGAAAACAACCTCAAGAGCTCCCATCCTTCATCCAACATCTGACATTAGCAGCACCTTGCTGGTGCAGGGACACATTTCTTGGATAACTGTCCCTACACAGGAGCACTTTAAACCCTGACTTTTCATACCCAGTCAGAGATATGCCATAAAAATTATAGTGTTTTGGTATTACATGGACACTTTTCTTTCAGTCAGAGCTCTTTTTTGAACTGCTGTCTCACTTTGAACAAAATGAATTTGCTGTGTGGTTTCAAGTGTTGTGCTTTGCATCTAAACCACGTCGTGTTTGTGTTCTCTCTCAGGTGAAGAAAATTATTTCAATAGCTATTCAGAAATTTTTAAAAACCATACAGAAGCCTCTTATGGTAGTACCGCAGTTGAGGCAAGATCATCCTAAGAGGTATAACTTATAAAACCTTTAATATTGGTGCCACATTAACCCGGGAATGTGAGTGTAGCTCTATGCCCGTCCTGCTCTGATCCAGGGCCAGGCAGCCCCAACCATTCCCTTTTATTTGTCTCCCTGTGGCATCTTGCAGCTTTTCCCTCCTAACTCCGGGACCTGCTGTGCCAGCCCACCAGTTCTGGGTAGGTTTTGAGCATCTGGTTTCTTTTTATCTTTCGCAGAACCCAAAAGGGGGTTTAAGCAGCAGCTTTGTCGCGAGTGAAGCGAGACAGGCTTGAGCTACAGGAAAAGAACAGAAACAACGTGTATTTTCTTGTAACACACTGAACTTCCCCGGGCTACAGAGCCCCAGCCCACGCCATCCACCCCTCAGTGTCCCGGCTCTTTGAGGGGATGACGGCGGGATCTCCTGGGTTGTAGGACCCCGTCCCACACCGTCCATCCCTCAGTGCCCCGGCTCCCTGAGGGGACGATGGCGAAATCCCCCGGGCCTCCATCCCACACCATGGGTCCCTCAGTGCCCCGGTTGGATGGTGGCAGGATCCCCGGGGCTCTAGAGCCCCATCCCGTCCCACCCCACTCAATCCCTCCCTCCATTCCCGCCTCCATTCCCCGTGTCCCCTCAGAACGACCCCGGTGGATCCGCTCCCTGGCGCCCCCCAGCGGCGGCGCCCCTTCAGCGCGGCGCGCGCCGGAGCCGGACCCGCCCCCGCCGGGGCGGGAAAAACCCTCCTAAGGACCCCACCTTCTCCCCTCCCCGCGCCCGGCTCCTCCATAGGTGACCGCGGCGTTCGCCGGCCGGCAGGAGGAGGGAGGGATTTCCTGCCGGCGCGGGCAGCGCGCAGGCGCGCGGCGGGCACCCTCAGGCGGCGGCAGCAGCGCGGAAGGCCCCCGTTCTGGAAGGATCCCGGCGTGCGCATCCCGGCCCTGATTCCCGGCTTATCCCCAGATCCCGGCCATGCCCGAGAGCGCGCCCGGCAGGGCCCCCGCCGGGGCCGCCAACAGGGCCAAGGGCGCCTACCAGGACCGCGACAAGCCCGCACAGATCCGCTTCAGCAACATCGCGGCCGGCAAAGGTGTGTGTGGGGGGGTGGGTGGTGGTGGAGAACCGCGTGGCCCTATCCCTGGGAGCTGGAATTCCATGTTTTTAGCGGCTGGGGATGGAGGGGGGATGCGATTCCCGGCACTGACACGATTCCCCGAGCGATTACGGCGTGCATCACGCTTCTTTGTTATCCCTCAGGTTTAAAATGGCTGCGATCAAACCATCAGATATTAGTCGTTTAAAAGAAAGATATGTGGAACTCAGTACTGATACTGCAGCGCTTTACGTTATTCCATTATTTGAAATTAGTATATCTGGAAACTGCTTAATAGTGGCGGGCACTTTATATTTAGAAGGCACATGTAAGTGCTGGAGTGTTTGTAGTTCTTTAGATGAGCTCGCAAACGTTTTCTTCTCTTCCCAGCTGTTGCCGATGCGATTAGAACAAGTCTTGGACCAAAGGGAATGGATAAAATGGTATGCTCTTAATTTTTTCCGAAATTTTTTCCCATTTTAAAAGCATTAAGCTTAGTGGAGATAAATCCAACATGTCCTATGTAGCATGACACCTTTTACCTTAATTTTTTCCCAGGTTTCAGTTATTTAAGGGAAAGTAGGAACTAAATGCACATCTGGGTTTGGGAAATGAAGTTGTCAGGGAGAACACTTTGTGTTGAGTCTCAAATTTAAGGTTTACTGATCAGAGCTGTGCCCCTCCCCTTCCTTCTCAGATCCAGGATGCTAAAGGAGATGTGACAATCACTAATGATGGTGCCACTATCCTGAAGCAGATGCAGGTCCTGCACCCTGCAGCCAAAATGGTGAGTGGTTCCTTTTCCATGGCTGGGACAATGATCTGTGCCACAGCTCAGTTTCTGGGGTGAGAAAACATGGATTTGAGGAGCACTACCCACTGGTGACAGAGAGGAAACTTTGTACCCTGTGCTCAGGAAACATTTATTTTGCTTGTAAGGTGTGCTGGGGAGTTACGAGTCCTTATTTCTTACCCAGTGTCCCTTGTGCATAATCCCTCTGGGCATGTTTTAAGACATAAAAAACCCAACCCAAACCTTCATCTAAGAAAGAAAACTCCTGTCCCAAATCCCTGGGACAGAAGGGAATGAGAGAAGGGAATGAGTTAAGTTGTGGTCAGGTGCTGTGAGGATGCAGCACCCTGGTCCTTTGGGATGTTCAGTGTATTTCTCTAGGATCTGGTTGTGGTTGGAGGTGGAAATGAAGTTCCTGTGACCTTCCTCCAGGGAAGGAAAAGGTAAACCTGTTGGATAGCAAAAAGCTTTGCTTCTCTAAGTGATTTATTTGACCACAGTTTTATTTCAGCCAAACAGGGGGTACAAGTGTGGGATGGAAATTGCAGAAGGTGCACACTTCAAATTAAAAAGACACATGATTCAGCCTAAAATCAAAGTTAATTTTCGTAGTGCTGTGTTCCTGAATATCTCATTTTTTATTATTGTGTTTGCAAGTAAGCAGGAATATATATATATATATGTATATATAAACTTCTGTCATAATTTCTCCTTTAGTTGGTAGAGCTGTCCAAAGCACAAGATATTGAAGCTGGTGATGGCACAACATCTGTTGTTGTCATTGCTGGAGCTCTTTTGGATGCCTGTTCCAGACTCCTTCAAAAAGGTAAATATATGTACATATATATATTTAATATGCAAGTAGTTAAGTCTTCTGTCAGCTTGTGTATGACAATGATTTAAAGCAGCTGTTCTCAGTCGAAAAGATAAAGGGTGCATCCCACTCCAGGGAAATTGAGGAGCTTCCTACAGAGCTGTGAGAAAATCTGAATATTAAATCTGAAATAAAATCCCTGTCAGGCTCCTCACAGGCATCACCTGAACAGCAGCAGTTTTGAGATTGCCAAGGGCAAAGGGAACTCGGGGAGGGTGTTTGTGGGATGTCAGGCATGGCAGGAATTGTCTGTGAGGACAAATTATTTGGAATGTTACAGCTTTTACCTTCTGTTTTAATGGTGGAAAGTAATAAGGGAGGTCATGCACCTGTGAAGAACATATTGCTGAATCATCTTCCTTTTATTCTGACCTGAGTCTCTTGAATTTTCAAATGGAAAAAAGGAGGTGAAGGAAAAAAAGAAAGAACCATTGGTTTGCAAGCATGAACTGCCTGACAGCCTTTCTTTCTCTATGCACAGGAATTCACCCCACCATCATTTCGGAGTCATTCCAGAAAGCTTTGGATAAGGGTATTGAGGTGCTGACCAACATGGCCCAGCCAGTGGAGCTCAGTGACAGGGAGACTCTGCTCAACAGTGCAACGACTTCGCTGAACTCAAAGGTACGGCAGCTCCTGGACTGGGAACCTCCAGCCAAGCCTGGCCTTCCAGCTTTTCCTACTCTGTGCTGCTCTTCCCTTACTAACAATACCCTGAATGTTGTAAATCCAGGCTCAAAAGTCTCACTTTAAGAGCCTTTCTAAGAAAGAGAAATTCAGTTGTCTTTGGGGTTTCCCCACCGGCATCGCTCCTTCCTTGCCCTGGAGCAGCTGTCAGGAAAACGCCTTGTTGAGACACTGGGTGGGCAGGGAGGGAAAAGAAGCTTTGATTCAAAATTCCAAAGTCAAATACTGAAAGACAATGACAACATTGTTTGGAAATTGCCATTTCTCAGTGTTAAATCTCTCTTCATTATCAAATCCCTTAGGTTGTGTGTCAGTATTCCAGTTTGCTTTCTCCAATGAGTGTGGACGCCGTGATGAAGGTGATTGACCCAACTACAGCCAACAGTGTGGACCTCAGAGATATTAAAATTGTTAAGAAGTTGGGGTAAGAAACAACTTGTAATTGGATAAATTTTATCCCTGAGAAATCAGCTTCCCAGAGCTCCAGTCATGGCTTGTGTTTGTTTCCAGAGGCACAATTGATGATTGTGAACTGGTTGAAGGACTGGTCCTGACTCAGAAAGTGGCAAATACCGGCGTGACCAGAGTGGAAAAAGCCAAAATTGGCCTCATCCAGTTCTGCTTGTCAGCTCCAAAGACAGATGTAAGTCAGACTGGGGCTAGAGAGAAACCTCGTGCTCTGGAACTTGGGAGATGGAAATGTAATGGTGACACATGTTTTTTTAAGATGCTGTGATGTCAGCTCTGTGCCACAGCTAGGGGGAAGGTCTGCTGGGTCTTAAAAAAACTTGCAGTTGGTGTGAAAACCCAAAATTGTTTAAAATTATAAGAAATATTGAACCATTTCTAATAAGATATATCTTACTGTTGTGCTTGTTGGCTTTGAATCACAGGGTGCTAAATTAAAGAACATGGAATGTTTGGACACTTGCTTTTTAACTCAGCAGGTGCTCATAGTTGCTTTTTTCTTTTATTTTCTATTCTTAAATAGATGGACAACCAGATAGTTGTTTCTGATTATGCTCAAATGGACAGAGTCCTGCGTGAAGAGAGGGCCTATATTCTGAATTTGGTGAAGCAGATAAAGAAGGCTGGGTGCAATGTCCTGCTAATTCAGAAGTCTATTCTTAGGTATGTTAATACCGAATTAGTGGCTTTCTGTCTGTGTTTCAGGGAACAGTTTGAATTGTTTGGAAAACCTGGAAAAATTAAGCCAAATAGTAACAGTCACACTTGGCAGAGTAACAGTGACTGTACCTTTAGAAAGCACTCCCACTGTCTCTGTTTTGAGTTTCATGACATCCTTACTTTGTACTCTGAAGGAATTTGAGCACTGTGGCCTGATTCCTTCTCTCTCTATTTCAGGGATGCTCTCAGTGACCTGGCCCTCCATTTTCTGAACAAAGTTAAGATCATGGTGGTCAAAGACATTGAAAGAGAAGACATTGAGTTTATATGTAAGGTAAAGTGGGTTATATAAATTAGTAGCAGTGTTTAAAATCTACCCCAAAACTAACTGCCCAGCCAGGGCCAGTTGATTATGACACTTTCTCAAGCTTCATGTTTTGACTATTAATGCAAACCCAGCCTTTTCCCTAAAAACCATTCCCATTCTGTTGAGCAGCCACACTTTTAGGACAGATGTAAAAGCCACAGCCCTGACACTCTGTTTTACTGTAATAAGCAGAAGAACAACATGCAGGGTACTTGCTGACTCTGCAGTCAGCCTCTGGATTAATTTTTTTTTTCATGTTATTTTTTCAGACAATTGGAACTAAGCCTGTGGCTCACATTGACCAGTTCACCCCTGACATGCTGGGCTCTGCTGAGCTGGCAGAAGAGGTCAACCTGAACGGTTCTGGGAAACTAATAAAGGTGAGTGAGGGACAGAATGTTAATACAGCTTAACATCTGCCAGCTATTTTAATAACAGTTGATAACTTTAATGGCTTTTATTACTGAATTTATTACATTTAAGTACCTGCTTCTAAGCTCTGAGTAGCACCAGCTTGGGCAGTGCCATGGTTTTGCTTGGCCAGACATCAGTGCTGTTACAGAACTTGAAAACACCAATGGAAGTGTCTTTTTGTCCAGAACTCTTTTCCCCCCTAGTCTTAATATTTGGTTTTATGTTTTAGATTACAGGCTGCACAAACCCTGGA